AATATCAACTAACCAACAAGTAGCCACTTTCTTCCAACGCATCAAAGAGGCCCTTGATGCATGAAATACCCTTACGGCTGTGTTCGTCGATTTCATATCAGCATATTACTTAGTATGGAAAGAGAAGCTAATTCCAAAATTGGCAAAGATTGATATTAAGCATAACATGTTAAACTGAATAAGGGCATTCATTGGGCAAAGATCATGTAAAGTCAGATATGGAAATGCTCTATCAAAATTCAATCATTTATAAACTGACCTTCCACAGGGAACAAAGATCGTGTAAAGTCAGATATGGAAATGCTCCATCATGTAAAGTCAGATATGGAAATGCTCTATCAAAATTCAATCATTTATAAACTGACCTTCCACAGGAAGCTGTCACAAGCTGCACTCTTTTCAATGTGTTCATCAATGACAAAGCCAAATTAGTACAGACAGTCACGGGGATCAAGTGCTTACTTTATGCAGATGATCTGGTACTATGGTATTCCGCCCCTAAGAGAAACGCACAGAAGAGGACAGAAAGTGCACTAATTTGTGCACTTAAACTACTAGCAAACTGGTGCGACATTAATGGAATGGTAATCAACGCCGCGAAAACTGCACTCCAAGCATTTTCTTTGACCCGTAACAGCATAAACCCGCTTCACAGGTGCAAGGATACTACCATAGAAAAAACCAATGAGTTCACATATCTCCGATTGACGGTTGACACCAAGCAAACATGGAAAAGTCACATTGATAAATAGCAGAACGAGTCTCCCATAGACTAAATGTACCGAAGCGTCTTGCTGATAGCATATGGGGCTGTGAACGCTCAACTCTTAACACCACTTAGAGGATGTTTATTCAGCCAATAATGTTGTATTGCTGTGAGCTACAGCCACAGAGTTATTGCTGTGAGCCACTCATTACAGCCACAGAGGTGACTCTCAAACCACCCGAGAAGGCACAACGACTATAAGTATTATGACTAATAACTGAAGGGACAAAATCGAAACCAATTGATGCAATTCTCCTGGTTGCAGGGAGCACCACAATATGTTCCCTTATGAAAGAGAAGGCCTTGATCCTGTATGAGAAGCTACTGCGCATTCAAGTTCTTCAGCACCTATGAGAATAGACCAAGACATCTTAAATTCGTTAGCACCTATGAGAATAGACCAAGACATCTGAAAACGCAATGCTGGTCTAATACAGAAAGCCATAGAACTGAAGAAAGCATTCCTCGTCTTATAGACCAAGACATCTGAAAACGCAATCTGGTTTAATACATCCATAGAATTGAAGAAAGCATTACAAATCGATGATAAACCAAAAAGCCTTTCTCTCTCACCATGAACCCATTAGCAGACATTGATGTAGTTTCCATGAACCCATTAGCAGACATTGATGTAGTGTGTCGCAACATGAACCCATTAGCAGACACTGATGTAGTGTGTTGCGCCATGAACCCATTAGCAGACACTGATGTAGTGTGTTGCACCCATGAACCTATTGACAGACACTGATGCAGTGTGTTGCACCCAACTGCTTGACCTTAGCAGACATTGATGTAGTGTGTCGCACCCAACTGCGTCTTCAGGAAATCAAACACTCCTCCAGAGCAAATGCGCTCCCCCTTTGGGAAATCAAACACCACCCCAGAACAAATGCGCTCACTGGCCTTTGAGACAATCAATGCCAACTATTCTGCAGATCAATGACTTCAAGTCTTTACTAATGGATCTTACATAGAAAACCAAGCAAAAGTTGGTGCAGGTGTCTACTCAGACCTCTTCTCTTTCTATGCAGCAGTGGGACACAACAGATCCGCTTTTGAAGGAGAAAAAGGGACCTCAAGATGCAACGAACTTAAAGCTCGAACAAAGGAGAAACAGTGGTCAGAGGCACTCTCCGACATAGCCGACTGGCCAAGAATCGAAGTCGTTGCTGAGTTTGGACTACGTACTGGACACGATTGCCTGACAAAACACCTTCACAAATTGGGAGTATACACTCAACCCACATGGCCTCTATGTAACCTACAGGAGGCAATGGGGAAGACCCACCTGATTCGATGTCTTGCTCTAAAGACAACGGCGGAAAGTCAGAGATACTGGAAAGCAAGAACAGCTAATGAATTAATATTAATTAACTGCTATAAATGAACCCCCCACCCTTGGGGGAAGCTGAAGTCAACGTTTAAGCGCTAATGATAAATGTCATAAAGCCTGCCATTTGCAAACAAACCTCGAGAAGTGTAAATTTGGTCGGACTGAACTCAATGCCTAAGGTCATTTTGTTAGCACTTTCATAAATGTCATTCAGCACAGCAAAACCCTATCTATTATTCACTTTCGTATTCCTCACTAAATCTAAATTCTTTACCATCGTATTCTTAAATCTGTAGGTTAATGATGTCATCAATGATATTTGTTAATTTTGACATTTCTTTTGACGAAATGTCTCAGAGCAGACCATAATCAAATTCAACTTCAGGAGACGTCTGCAAAAATCAATAAAGGTCCAGCTACCAAATTTGTCATTTTTAAGCCCTTTAACTAACCAAATGTTCCTTTTGCGTTTGACCACATTTATGGAAGATCAATAGTTATTGAAATAAATGATCGGTAGACTTCTGTACTGACAAGATAAATTGAATGTGATTAGTTTTAGAACGAAGTTTGGAGTATGCGATCCTGAACGTTCAGGAGGGAGGTGTCGAGCGTGGAAGGGAAGTAGCAACTTGTGATCCGTTAAGGTTTTGTCAAGAGATGTTGTAAGTAATTCAATAAGAGACTCCTTCCATGTCTACTTCTTCTTCTTGTTCAACATAATTCATTTGGTCAACACTTTCGGAGCCAAACTATGCCATCAAGATTACTGCGGATTAGACAAGTCTTATTTGTGTAGTAATTTGCCTCAAATCCTTCCATCCACATAGATAGATTCTAAGTCATCGGCATATATGATGAATGAAAACTAGCAAGTGAACCGAACAGAAAACTTTCTTTGGATAATCCATCTATTAATTATGAATGTTCATTGGTCTTGATAAACAATGGAGTCTTTCCGGTGTTAAACCAAGGCGTGCCACGAACCAGGTCCTAAATTGCTAGAACCACCTCTTTCTGCCTACTCGTCTGCAGGTATGCAATTGCTTCTCTGCATTGTATAATTGCTACTGAATATATTAACAAACAGACCAACTTTGTATCCCCTAAAAGAGACGGAAAATTAAAATTTATCAAGCATACATTTCAAGTCAAGGTTAGGTCCCGCCACATTGGCATGCTTTCAGTGAGTTCATGTAAAAGTCAAAATTTGTGAAGTTAAAAAATGAGTTGACCGCAATCATTAAAAAATTAAGGCACTATTACCACATCAGACCTATTACATGAAATGAGACTATCCGTTTCATCACCTCAAAGGAAAGAGATTTTAAAACATGAGTCAATCCTATTATGAGGTTTATAATCGTCCTTTTCAGCGTTAGAGCAGTAAAGCCATGCGTCCATTATTAAAAGTGGCGCAAAACCGAAATGGAAATGAATTCTCTAGCCACTGTAGCATTGGCATGTCACTGCATGTCAACGTAACAGCAGTGAAGCAGCTCCTCACGTAGAGCAGATTTAGTGGAAAGAGGGCAAGAGACTGTGCTGGACGGCTGGTTTCTCTGTATTTGGGTTTACCTCCCATTTATACGCTGGGATACTCATAATCAGAGTTCGAATGGTGAATTTTATCAATCTCACTCATATAAACCCGAAAAAACTTGTCAGCTTCCAAACAATTTTATTAGTAACCAATGACACTGTCCTATTGATTGTATGCAAATATGATTAGGTTCGAATCTCTTTTCTTTGCAATTTGTCCAGTTATGACCTCTAAAGGCAATGTGGACTGATGAAATATTTGTAAAGACTTTCATTCTCCGAAGTTTTCTTTTTGCAATTCCTCTTCGAGGTACAAGAGACAGGCATTAAAAAGACCATCAATCTCCGATGGAGGAACGTACATTCAGTCATGCTGTGTTGGCACACAAATGGCATGGTAATATCGTTGTTGTGGGATTTACATTAAACTAGACACAGTAGGTAATGAAATTGCTCCCAAATATATCACAGTACAAACATGTACTCAATAAAGGGGACTTAAAATGTGCGCTATTTGTCTTGATGGACACAATAGATCAGCTAGTCTCTGATATTGTTGACCGTCGGTAAATACAAAGGCATGCATTGCTCTACAAACAAAATGAAGACGATTCTCTAATAGAAATTGCCAATGTGATTTTCTCCGGAACTTATAGTTATAGCGTAAGTGAGTAAATGAGTAGTGATAGTTAAGAAACGCAAGAATGACAAAATATGGCTTGCTCATTGTTTACTTTAAGTCGGCTAGCACAGCTAGAACAAGGATGAGAAAATGATTTGACATCAATTAATAAACACGCGATTTACATTCAAAGTGTCTTTGAAGCAACTTCATTCGACATAGAATGTCATTTTCCAAAGATATAATCTGCCTATCTAAGGTTCTAACCGTTATCCTCTTGAATAGTAAAAATGGGTAAAATATCAGGATAAGCTCAAATAAGTTATAATTGGGCTCATGGAAAGGTGTTCGTAGCCGAATTAATTTTAAATTTCAAATAGAATGAGTGAAAGCAAAGTGAAGATTCATATGAAAGACGATCCAAAAAATATGTAGAAAACGTATGTGTCAGAATTTTATTAGAGCTAAGGTGCACTTAGATCCCACACCACCCCATTCCCTGACAATTGTACACTTAGTGTATTTGAAATAGATAGCATCTTTCCTACGACTTCCAATTGAGTGCATACGATTTTATCGATCTCAGCGATTTCACGTGGATGCAATGAGTTTCTAGGTTTTGGGGACAGTTACCCAACTTAAGGATAATGAATGGAAGGCGTGATTTCGATCTTGTGCTTACTTAAGTTACCTCAAAAGAACAAGTTTTTATAGCTGCTTAAGACCATGTACACATGGAAAAATCGTGTAAATTTATGCAAACATTGGCGCTCACTTTCTTTTTATAAAGTAAACGAAAGTTCAAAGTGAGGACAAATGTATTTCTTTTGGGTATTTGGTTAGGTCATAACGAGTGGGCTATTAGAAAACATTAGACCAAAATCATTTGCTTCAGGCATGAATAGAGGTGGGGTGACATGGTGGAGAAATTCAAGTAGTGTGCAGACGCAGTTTATATTTTATGATATTTCGAGTAAGTTGGGTCAAGGAGGCGGTGAAAATGAATATTTCAGCCAAAATTAATGTAAAGGAAGTGCCTTCCTGAACTGGAGTTGAATTATTGCAGCTTCAAATTGCTAGCTACTAATTACTCATTGAATTATTTGAACAGGTTGGCGGATGTGGATGTGGTTGTGGGAGTTAACTTCGTGATCTCTAATGCTAATTTCCAAAAGGGCAAAAAGTCATTTCATTTAAAAAGCAGTACTTTGAGGTGGGAGTTAATTTGGATAAAAGATGTTCCCTAACTGATTGGCGTTGGTTGTGTAATATCAAATACTGAAAATAACGAGTATAACGAGTATCAAAAATACATTCATCCTCTAATGGTCAACTTTTTAATTTAATGCACAGTTTACTCTTGGCTTCAAGCGACATCAGTGAGCATACACGCCGCAAAATAATTGACGATTCTGGTTCTGGTCACAAATCAGTCATTGCTAGTATTACCTTCGGCAGCAAAAGCATGTCAAGGAAAGTGTAAACTAAGCTATCGTGGAGCTTCAAGAAGGCTGACTGGCCTACATTCACAAAATTTTTGAGAACGAACTTAACACAAGTCCCCTCAACTTCAACCAACATCCTGGGACTTAACACAAGTCCCCTCAACTTCAACCAACATCCTGACGTGTACTGATATCACGAATATTATGATCAGATGTGCAAAGAAAACTATGGGAAGACTAAACACTATCGAGTGTTTTGGTCTAAACACCTTGAATAAACACTATCGAGTGTTTTGGTCCAAACACCTTGAGGAAGCTAAAAGAAAGCGGGACGCCCTTCGCAACACTGCTGATCAGTGTAAGAGGGACGCCCTTCGCAACACTGCTGATCAGACTGGGAGGGACGCTCTTTGCAACACTGCTGATCAGACTGGAAAACGGAACGCCCTTCGCAACACCGCTGATCAGACTGGAACAACGGAAGACGTAAAAGCCTGGAGACGACAATCAGCTGTCCTAAGACAAGCCATCTTGCAAGCTAAACGCACTTCTTTCGACAAGTTCATCTCAAATATCAACTATCAAAGTGATAGCCAACGCACTTTCAAATTTCTGAGAAACCTGCAAAACAACCGAGAAAAACCCAAGAAAGAACCAATACGCTTAAACAGCAAATTGCTTACCACCGACAACGAAATAGCTAACTGCTTTGCGAGGTTCTATTCCCACAAGCAAAAGAAAAACCCTTTTGTCAGAAAATCCTCAAGAGATTTAAAGATACAAGTAAGACAGTTTGGTGAAATTAAGGAAGACGCAAAACCAAATAATGTACTTACTGAACCATTCAGACCTTGCGAACTTAATGCTGCGATAAAACAGCTAAAGTGCAAGAAGTCTCCTGGCGAAGACGGTATTCATCCAGAATTTCTAATTAGAATGGGTCCAAAAGCCAAGGAAACCATGCTGACGCTTTACAACAAANGCTGGTAGTGTATGGGGCTGTGCGCGCTCAACTCTAAACACCACTTACAAGATGTTTATTCAGTCAATAATGTTATATTGCTGTGAGGCACTCATTACAGCCACAGAGGTGACTCTCAAACCCCTCGAGAAGGCACAAAATCAAGTATTACGACTAATTACTGGAGGGATAAAATCAACACCCATTGATGCAATGCTCCAAGTTACAGGAAGCACCACAATAGGTTCCCTTATCAAAGGAAAGGTCTTGATCCTGTATGAGAACCTTCTGCGCATTCCCATGGACAAGTTCTTCAGTTTCTATGAGAATAGACCAAGATATCTGAAAACGCAATCTGATCTAATGCAGAAAGCCATAGAACTGAAGAAAGAATTACAAATCGATGACAAACCAAAAAGCCTCTCTCCCTTCCCATGAACCCATTAGCAGACATTGATGTAGTGTGTTGCACCCAACTGCTCGACTTCTTCAGGAAATCAAACACTCCTCCCGAGCAAATGCGCTCACTGGCCCTTGAGACAATCAATGTCAACTTTCCTGCAGAGCAATGGCTCCAAGTCTTCACTGATGGGTCATACATAGAAAGCCAAGCAAACTTTGGTGCTGGTGTCTATTCTGAACTCTTTTCTCTCTACGCAGCAGTATGACACAATAGATCCGCTTTAGAAAGAGAAATAGATGCCATTAGGATAGCACTATGCCAATTATGTTGCCTGGATACGAAATTCACCAAAGCGGTGATACTTTCGGATTCACAGTCAGCAATAAACTCAATTGGAAACAGAGAGACACCCAAAACAGCTGAGATAAAGGAATGTAGAAAACTCTATGAGCTGCTGAGAGAGAAAAACAAAACAGTGGTCCTACAATAGATTAATGGTCACTGTGGCATTAAAGGCAATGAGCTTGCTGACACACTTGCTAAGAAGGGGACAACGATTTTGCAATGCATGTACCGGCCGATGTCTTTCCTCACAATGAAGGCCATAATCAAGAGAGAATTCCATATTTTCAACTTGCAATGAACTTAAAGCTCGAATAAAGGAGAAACAGTGGACAGTGGCACTCTCCGATATAGCCGACTGGCCAATAATCGAAGCCGTTGCTGAGTTCAGACTATTTACCGGACACGATGGCTTGGCAAAACATCTTCACAGATTGGGAGTATACACTCAACCCACATGCCCTCTATGTAACCTACAGGAGGAAATGGAGAAGACCCACCTGACTCGGTGTCCAGCCCTAAAGACAAGGACGGAAAGCCAAAAATACTGGGAAGCAAGATGACAGCTAATGAATTGCTATTGATTAACTGCTATAAATGTACCCCCCCCCTCTTGGGGGAAGCTGAAGTCAAAGATTAAGGGCTAATGATAAATATCATAAAGCCTGCCATTTGAAATATATAAATAAATTTCTCAGCCAATTAGTAGATCGTCATTGTAGCGGATTGCTACGCTAGTAAACCCTGACTAACTCAGAAATCTTTATTGTAGATTCTCCAACATCTAGCTAGACTCCCAGAACCAGCTGGAGATTCTCCTACATCTAGCTAGACTCCCAGAACCAGCTAAACCATAGCCCAGCTATAAAGGAAACAGACGAGTAGCACGGAGAATTCTCCAACATCTAGCTAGACTCCCAGAACAAGCTAAGCTATAGTCCAGCTATAAGGGAAACTGACGTGTAGCACGAAATGCGTTTATTCGGTACGTATATTGCATATAAAGGAAACAGATGTTTAGCACGGAGCACGTTTATTCTACAGAGGATACAGACGTGTAGCACGGAACATTTATTCAGTAGAAAAGAAACAGACGTGTAGCACGGTGCACGTTTATTCAGTAGGTTTATTGCGGATAAAGTGGCACATAGGGAGCTTAATCATGATCAGGATGGCGGATTAGGTTAAATCCTGGTCAGGCATGCGGTGACGTGTCCCACATCGTTATTGACGAACATATTTAAAGAAAAGTTGTGACATTCATTTAGTTCATATTTATCAATGCGAAAATTTTGATTATTTTCTGATGAAAAGTTTTTTATCGAAAGCAAGAGAATTTTGATCCTATTGTATTAAAATATTTTCCAGTTATTTTTAGTTTTCGTAGTGGACATCTGTCCTGTTCTGCGTGTGGTTAGATCAATAGAATTCATTTTAATTGTATTTCCTCGTCTCCGATTTCAATGCAGTTGGTACGCAACTCTCTTTTAAGAAACTGCCTTGCTAGTTAAATCCTAATAAATGACCGATCACAGCAAGCTATTGAGGAGAACTTACTGAAGTGATTTGAATATTTTGATCAAAATACACTCCATATTGATAATAAATGCTTATTTGCTTGCTTCAGTTGGAATGTTTTCTTACTTTCCACTTCATTACAATTTTCAACTCTTTATAAGCAATTAACTGAACAGCCATGATGAATATGACTAATCTTCTTGCGTGTGCAAACTCCGTATCGCAGCTTGTGTGAATAGACGTGTTCTTTGTAATAACACTTGTGGTAACGCAGCTAATTTCGGGAGATATACTCAATAAGAAATAACTGAGTTAGTCAAGGCTTTACTAGTGTTGCAACCCACTACAAAAGCAAGAGAATTTCGTTACGGTTGTATTATAATATTTTTCTTTATTTTCGACGTGAAAGTATGTCTTCAACATTAGTCACAGCTCATAATAAAGTTAGGGTGATTAGAGGAAGGGGTAAGAAATGGGGTAATACAGAAGCTACAGTCACATCTCTTGTTAAATCATGCGAAAAGTGACTGTACTCACAAAAATCTCTTATGAAATGGCGTAAAATGAAAGAAAATTGATTTTTCACCAAAAAAAATCGGTCAAACAGAATCGAAAAATTATTACCACCAACATGAAGCTAAGCAATGGGCATTTAAATATACCACTAAATGTCATCTCACATAACTCAACAATCTTTAGAATTGTAGCCAAACCACATCGATGATGAAACCTAGTAACATTATCAAGGTCAATGTTACATGGAAAAGATATTTTATGGCTTATAATTTGATAATGGTTATACATTCAAATCTCAAAAACCATTTAAATAGGATATTTTGTATCTGTGAATTTTAGGTTGAAGATACAGCCTTAGTGTTGAAGTACGTTGATTCCCGTGAGTTTCACAAGAAGGCCAAAAGCACTGATCCTCAAGAGATTGCATTCTACATGGTAGAACTCTTGAGTTCTCTCGACTCTTACCATAGTCATGTCATCATTCACCGAGATATCAAGAATACGAACATTATTATTGATGTGGAGAGTAGGAGTTTGTGACTGACTGACTTTGGACAGGCAACAACCTAACATCCTCACGCGTTGGATTACAGGTCACCTGAAGTGCTACTTGGATAAAAGGCGAGCTGTAATGTGATTGTAGGTACTCCCACGGCATAGGGAGAATGAAGAATGGCGACCTTGTTGGATGTAGGACAAGTATATTTGCTTGAAGTTGCATAAATTTCCTTCCCTACTCGCCTATTCCCTCCATCCCCCTCCCTCTACAAGACAATTTAAGGGAAGGCTGCCACTACGTGCTTTGCTGGAACATCTACTGAAAAAAATGAGGAACTAACGTAAGTAGTAAAGGATAATTTAAGGTTTTGTTATTTCGGTCACTTTGAGAGAGACAGGTAAGTATGCAACAGATAGTTGACCCATCTTCATGCAGAAATCAAGCCTAGAAAGTAAATGGTCACAAAGTTGGTGTCACAACTGAAGATATTTCCACTATCTATTCTAAATGGCTTGCTTTATGACACTTATCAGTAGTTCTTAGGTAGCTTTGGGCTTCACAGAGGGGAGGAACCTCAAGTTGAGAAAAGTGGAAAGGGGGAACAGAAGAATGATTCAAAGATGATAAAGAGATAGTCAAACAGACACAAAGGCAGAGGAAAGGTAAGATTAGTACGGTCGAAGTGGTCAAAATGACGTAAGGTGGGGTCATGGTAATTTGAATTCATAAGTCAACTGCCGATTTAAAGACTTTTTGGCGTATGAGAATACTTTGCCGGGGCGCCCCATGTGGCGGTGAGTCTATCGCACACCTTATATATTTCCAATATTAGGATATTGGCAGTTAGTAATTGTGTAACCTTGACTGACTCAAACAATCAACCAGGTTATTTCAGAGTACCACAACATACGCAAATTCGAGAGATCAGATATTTGCTGGATGTGTATTCCTCAGCATTAGTTTAGTGATTACTTAGTGATCGGTTAGTTGATCGCATTGATTGCAGTAAAGGAAATTGTTGCTTTGATGATGAAATGCAATGCAATTAATCTGTTCATCTTGTACTTCCCCACACGTCCATCATTTAAAAATACAACTTTTCTTTCAATCTCCGGTCACTCGGTTGCTTGTCTGCCATGCTTGTTTTCAAGCAGAGCTTATTTGCAGCAGACAATGAGGGTCGATCTCAGTTGGTGCATTTCGTGGAGAAGTACCACCCTCCCATAGCTCACTCCTTCCATAATGTGGACATAGCCGAGGAGGGTGTTTCATTATTGAAGTTTGAAACCTAGGAGAATTTAGGACTTGCAAGCTCACACTCTTTGAATTCACTCCGACGTTTCCTTCAATTTGTCCACCACGATAGTGTGACTACAAAACGGCGTTGCAACACAACTCCATTTCGCAATCACCACCTTGAAATCATTTAATTTAATTTATCATTGTGTCGAGTGTGAATACTTATTTGTGAGACGTAAAATTAAATTACTATCCTTGTGCATACCACCTGTCTCCGATTTAATGAGATTTTCGTGAAATTGTTCTTGAATTCATCAAGTGCAGCTACGTTTGTGGATATTTTTCACTCAATCAGCATTGCGTCATCGGCCTTCTCTCCCAACCTCTTGAAAAGGGGCAATTCATACGCTGATTGAGATTTTGCTCAACTTCTGAACCCAAAACACGAAGAATTTCTTTACCCTCTCTCTCTCTCTGCCTGAAATTACACCTCCTTCACAGACAACTTTACATTTTCATATCAACTTGACTTGTCTTTGAAAAACCATGTTGCTCTTCTTCACTGCTCATACTCAATCATCCATGATCTTTAAGACCATACACTTTTGGTTGACAAACTTTCACGTTAATTGTAACAAATGTTTATTTGATTGGTCCAACTATAGTTTTCTCCTTCTTATCATTACTTACATTGGGCAAATCACTTTTTTCTACATTTTATTAAGCCTTCAGGGAAAAATACGTCTAAAGTAAATTGGATAAGGGAATCCATAATCAAGCCCTACATTTACCTAATTGGGCTTTCATCAAGGAAGTTGCGTGCTTGGCACATGAAAAATCACATCGATTTCATTGCTGCTGCGTTGAACTTTACTCCGAGATAAGTGAACTCGTTAATTTTTCTGCAGATGTGTCCGTGTATCTTAAGTGTGGATTCATAGCGTGCTGAGTCAATTGAAATGATTGGAATTCGGTTTTCAAGGTGTTGGTAACCGTCCCGTTGTCGTCGTACCAGTGTTCTAATAGTTTGAGTGCAAAATTCAATGCAGTTTACGTCCTCTTCTGAACCTTTTTTCTTGGTGTGCAATGCCATAGAACAAGCTCATATGCATAAAGTAAGCACTTCCTGACTGCGACAGTTTGTTACAGTTAATCTTTGTCATTGATGAAGTCGTTTGAAAAGAGAACAGTTTGTGACAGCTCAATGTGGTAGGCCTGCTTGCAAGCTATTCGATTTGGACAGACGGTTCCTATGTCTGGCTTTTCATGTTCTCTGTCCAATGAATGCCTCTATTCAGTTTAGCAGATTATGTTTATACCAATATTCGCCACTTTTAAAATTGGGTTCTCTTTCCATACTAAGTCATATGTTGATATGAAATCCACAAATACAGCGGTAAGAGTATTTCTTGAATCAAGGTCACCTTTGCTAAGTTGGGAGAGAATGATTACTTGTTGATTTGGTGATATTTGTGGTCTTCAACCTGCTTGTTCGTTTCTTAGAATGTTGTTAGTTTCAAAGAAACAGGTCCGCCTCGTGTTACCCATTCTTTCCATAGGTTGAACCAACAGGCTTGTGAGGGAGATATACCAATAGTTGTCGAAATTGTTGAGGTTAATGCTCCCTATTAGCAGTGATACTGTAAGTAATTTACTATGCCATTGACGACACTGCTGCAAATTCGCCACTGCCAATATTGAAACAATGATTGAAGAAATGCAGGTTGCAGGGGTGTGTCGAGGCTGAAGATTTTTCACTTATTTGTTGGTAGGGGAGGCAAAAATGTGGTATATTGAGAGATGTTTTTGTGATTAAGTCAAAGTAGTCTAGAAGAAATGGCAAGGTTGGGGTGGTGATTCCTTTAACCATTTGGCAAGGTTTAACTTGTCTCAGAGGGTTTTGGAGTGTTTGGGTCAGCAGTAAAAGAGGGATTTAGATCTATTTATGAACGAAGCTGAAATAATTCTTGCCCTATTTCACGTCGTCTGTTTGCTCCAACTGAGCTAATTCATGTCTCTCTGTATCCTTCAATCCATTTCCACTCCACATCTCAACTTCAATAAATTGCCATACTCCTACATATCTGAAAGTCGCAATTTTGCGGTCAACTTTCAGGTTGATTTTCAGGTTCAGATTTTCTTCATTGAGTGCAAAATATCATGGGG